AAATTCACATTTAAATCAATATTATTTTGGTGGTCAGACTTAGATTTTGAATTTTCAAAAATAAAGGATCACAATAGATATTTGTTTGCATACAGTACTCCAGAAGTTCAGTTACAACACTGCAGGTATCAATAGTATGAAAATAAGAAAACGGTTAGGGAATGATATAAAACATTGAAAATTAATTAATATTGGAACCTGATATGATATGATCAGTGTTTGTTTAACATATTGGTATGCAATTTCACTGTATCTGTTATAAAGAATGGAAAAATAAACGGTATTTGTCAATTGAGCCGATTTTTATAGACTACCTGAAATATATAAATTATGTGCACCGGTGGATTTATCCCAACCTATAAAGGTATTTATATTTTGCACCAGTAAATTGATCACAAATTAATTAGGTGTACATCGATTAAACCAGGAATACAGAAATATTAGATATATTATTTTCATAAAGTTTAATAAGACGTGTATACGTTGACATTATAAATCACTAGCAAAAACTGTAAAAATACTAATCAAAATATAGAATACAAAATCGTAAAATATTAWAATACATATCATTATAGAATAATATGTTAACAATTATAAAATATCAATATAGATATCATAACGATTATTCGTACTGCAGCCCATTATCACCGGATATTATACATTACATATTTGGACCTCAATATCATCCGGCACAGTTGATGTATTACCTTTTTGAATCCCAACTTTTTTTTCTTTACCTGTGATTTCTGGTGTAATTGACATATTCCTAAAATAAAATAGCTACTTTCATAAAATAAATAATAGCATTGACAATAATTGAACAAACTAAAAGAATAATGAAAAACGAAAACATTTAACGTTATCAGATATAATAATAATAATAATAACCAAAGTATTACAAAAACATAAGTTCACTGCCTATCATCCCTTTTTCATTCAAATTGTTTATTACAATGAATGGTGTATGTATTTGCTCTTTTTCTATTTCTATCGGTAACAAAATTTGCTTGGTTACTTTTGTTGGTTTGTTGCCCATCGCGTTATGTATGCTAAGTCCGGTTAATGGTATTATTGGTATCTTTGAATCATCTTGTATTATGTTGTCGTAATATTCCTCGATTTTGCACATATTTCGGCTCCTGAATCTACTAACATGTCATATCCTCGATTGTTTATAAATGTTTGTATGTATGGACAACCCAATTGTTGTGTTTTAGTAAATGTAACGTCGAAGTCTTMATCTTTTGTRAGATCTTCGGATTTTAATAAATTTAATGATTTGTCTGGTGGGTGCTTTTTCTTAATCGTTGTCTTTGTAATGTGCTTTAGATCAAGGGTGTTTATGACTGAAGTTGATCTATCTCCACAGTCCCCTGTTCCCAGTTTTTTGTCCTATCATCGATTTCAATCGTTTCTTCCCTATCGATGATTATTGGGTCAGCATCAAGTTCTGGTWGATACATAGTCAATTGTCTGATGTTGGGATTTTGGTTACCTCCATAGTGYTGTACTTGTCTCTGTGTGTATGGTTTTCGTACGTCTGAAGTATATTTATAATTTTGGTTGTTTGTCGGGTATGTCGTACTGTTGTATGAATTTCTTTGYCTGGTATTTATTTGTTTTGTAGTGTTTTCATTAAATTTAACTGGATCCTCTTCTTGCTTTATGTTATTTTCCAACTCACCTAACTTTTCCCATATTGGTAGAAATTTTTTTTTTTTGTCGTTTGTATGTACGCCTGAATGGCTATTGGAAAATGTTTTGTAATCAAATTAATTGCTTGTTCTTCATTCATTTTAGGTGAATCAAGGTGTTTCAWTTCCGCCATCCAATGGTGAAAGTGTTCTTGAAAGTCCTTTTTGATCGGTTTTTTCCCCGCTTCCGTGCATTTGATGAAAATATCCCATTGATGATTTTCGGAGAAAAAATGCTTGAKGAACAATTCATTGAAAGTTACTTCATCTAGTGCTGCGTCTTTGATCATTGTGTACCATTTTGCTGCTTTTCCGCGAAGGTTATCTTCTATGACTATCATTTTTTCTTTTCTG